TTCTCACTCTTCCTCATATTTACCAGGCACTGGAGCGGTTGGGTCGCATGGATGAAATTATAAATGATCCAGAGTATGCAATCTTTTTTATTTTTTTATTTTTTTATGATAATATTGATGCCTATATTTTCATTTTTATTTGTGCAGTTTGTAATTAATTATTGATTTTAACTCATTGTTGACATGTTACTAGAAAAATATTGATTTTGATGCCTTCGCATAAATTCTGATCTGTATTCCATTTTATGGTGGGCAGCTACAAGTTTGAATTCCCATCTCCTGATGATAGACCCGGACCACCAATTATAAGCTTCAGGTTTGACATCTGATGCTTAATAACATTTCAATGTTAAGTGCCTTGGGCTTCTTACAATTTAAAAGCAACTATCTCCCCGGTTTTCAGTTTGTTGAACAAAGCATTAACATTTGTGGTTAATTGTCTTTCGATCTGCTCCATTTAAGTTCTTGTTCTTTTTGAAGACAATTACTTGACTTTGGTAATCTTTGTAACAATTGCAGTGATGCATCCTTTGCATATCCTGGAGGCCCGACATTGTTTAAGAATTTGAATTTTGGAATAGATCTTGATAGCCGAATAGCGAGTAAGACTTTTTCTGAACCTGTTAAGTGCTCTACCTTAATGAATAATTCTGTTAAACTTTAGGATACATCTACCTATTAGTCTGTTTTCTGTACTGTCAACACTAGAACGGTGTATGATCATGGGAAAAACCATAGGGCTCCTATTAGTTATGTAATGGATTTTGAATAGTTTTAAGGTGTTCTGACTCCCAATATGATTTATTGCAGTGGTTGGTCCAAATGGTATCGGAAAGTCAACTATACTCAAACTTATTTCTGGGGAGCTTCAACCGAGCTCTGGAACTGTTTTCCGTTCGGCTAAGGTATTACTTATGTTTTCTCAATAGTCATTTTCTGGAAGAAGTCTTGGATTCTCTGTTTCCTTGCTTCTCTAATCTTGCAATTCATCAAAAGGTCCAAATATTCAAATTACTGTTCTGCATTGGCATATTCTGTGCTTGTTTCCTCAGGAAATGGTCTCAGATACCTTAAGTGGCTTCAATGTATTGATTTTTCTGTACCATAAATATCTTGTGTGTTTTCAAATATGGTGCTTTTATGGTTGAGCAAATGCATCGCAGTTACTTTCCGCTGACGAATGAGTGCATGTTGATTGTTCTTTTGCATACAATTTTGCCACCCTTCCCCTTGATGACATCTTCTTGCTTCGTTTACAGGTTCGCATTGCTGTGTTTAGTCAGCATCATGTTGACGGCTTAGACCTCTCTTCAAATCCGCTTCTATATATGATGCGCTGCTTCCCAGTATGTTTTGTCCTAATGTATAAGTTGATGTGCATTTTCTCATTTCTGTACTACTAGGGGCACCTTATAATGTATGGGGATTTGATAGCATGCAATTTTCTCATTATTCTTACTTCTGGATGCCTGTAAAACTGATCACATAAAAAGGAAGGGGAATTTCTTTGATACAGAGACATATGTACTTCTAACTGTGATGTAAAGTACAGAGAATAAAAACCACTGCAATGATAAATTGAGTTTATCCGAAGTTATTTGCTTTTACTTTTGCTCACTTGAGTGTATGTTCTCATTTTAAAGAACTTCCCCTTTCAGAGTTAGGCATAGTAAGTAATGAAGATTCCATGAATGCTGATTGTTGAGGAATTCATATTTCTGGCTTGTGTATACATATTTTGAATGCATCTGCATGCTGATATATTTTTGTTCTGTGCAGGGAGTGCCTGAACAGAAGCTAAGAGGTCATTTAGGTTCATTTGGAATAACTGGAAATCTTGCCCTACAGCCGATGTACACGTTATCTGGTACTTTTTTCATCTATTGCGTTTTATTTTGAGGGCTGATAGTGTTATTCTGGGATGTGAAAGTAGATTTTGAACTACTCTTAACAATATGGCAGGTGGTCAGAAAAGCAGAGTTGCATTTGCAAAGATAACTTTCAAGAAGCCTCATATTTTACTGCTTGATGAGCCATCAAACCATCTTGTAAGTTCTATAGCTTTGTTTTACTGATCTGTTATGCATCTTTTTTGTTTTTGCACAAATTATATGATGCGTACTTCATCAGAACAGGGTTGTATGCATGCTGTGCATCAGATGGTCACAATTGTTTTTGCATTGAATTTTGGTGTAAATAATTTTTTTATGTTGCCAGCTTCTGACTAATTTCTTATCTGAATATTTTCTCCATTTTGGCTATGCAAATGCAGTGACCTGTGCTGTTTAATTTTTAACCTTTCTTGGCTAATGCTCAAGGCCCTGGTTGATTTCAAATATTTGAATAATCAATTACAAAACTGATTGAAGAGTAAAAATTTGATTGTCTTATCCAAATATATTGCTAAATTTTCTGCGAGTGATCAAACCATTTGTTGACTTCCATAGGCAAAAGCAATGTAGACCATATGGATCTAGCAGTTTTTTTGTCTTGTGTTTACTGGACATAGTTTTGGTTATTATTTTCTTCGTTTGGAACTCCTATAGAACAGGGAAGCTTTACTTTCTTATTTCTTTCTTCTTGCTCTTGCATTCTCTTCCTACCCATTCTTGATTCTATATACGAGTTTTTCCTTTATATTTCTAATTTTCGGGATTTTATTTTATTTTTTTGAGAAAAAGTTGCAGTGGTGGTTGTGGTTGTGGTAGGGATGGGGATGGGGATGGGGATGGGGATGGGGTGGGGATTGTTTGTTAGAATGTTGGGGTTTCGTCTAACTATGGGACTGGCTTTTTGAAAATAGGCGCTAGGGTTGGTTTAGTTGCCTTTCTGTGTCTGAAATTATTTGGAAGGTTCTCAAACCTATATTGAAACTTGTTTTAATTTACTTTTGTTTAATACTTCCCAAATATT